TCTGGCGGAAAAGGAGTGTATCCCTTTTTGTCTTCAAGCCAGACTCAGCTCAAGCCCTGCCCACCCCAGCCACTCGCCATGCATCATGGAGCTATAGCGTGCCACACTCCAAGCCACTTGGATGGACAAACCAGAAGAAAACGCACAGCAACCCAAAAAAATGACAAACAACAATAGTGAGTCAACAAGCCAATGCAGCGGTCCCCTAACAAATAAGCCAAACAGTACACCAGCATCGAGGTGACCACCAACCTGAAACTGGGTCGTTCAAACCCTTCCGGCGATCCTTGCATCAGAATCCCACCCCCACAATAGCTGCGTGTTTTTGCCCGGCTCCGGCCCAGCCCCGGCCCAAGACAAAAAAGAAAACGTTCCCCCAGAATTCCAGAAACAACAAACCAAACACGAACCCAAGAAACAGCGCGAGGCCCAGGCGCCGCCGCGCAGCTCTCCCCCGCCGCTTCCGCCACGCTCCGCAGCGCCGCCAGCTGGGCCGCCGCATCGCCGCCCTTCGCGGGGTCCTAGGCGGCACTGTCGCGGACGAAACCCAAAAACAAGCTGGGAATGTGGCTAACCTTAGCGGCACTGGGATGAAACAAACAAAAAACCTGGGAAGGCTGCCGTCGAACCCGTTTTCCCAACACTGTGAGGGCCAAGAAAACCTCACAGGCTCCTCGGCTGCCTGCGCTCTGGCCCACAACCAGCCCGAATCGAAGATTTCCCTCACAAGCGCTCCTCAAAGTCTGTGCAGCGGGTAGGGTGCACCCCCACCGTGGAGCACAGCACCGGCCAGTCCTGGAATCCCCGTCGGATTTCGGGCACTTTGACCTTAACTGGAGGGGCCAACTGCAACCGGAGATGTCTTGGCTGAAAGATGGCCAGCTGCGCAGCTTCCAGCGAGTTCGAGTTACCGTCGATCTACGCTTGACTTCAGACCGGAGGAAGTCCTAGGACATACAAGAGAAGGCTTTGTTTGGATGAAATTTATCAGGTGAAGCGAAACGCTTGGGTATGTCAGGCTTCGCTGGAGATGACCTGCAGAAATAGGTTTGCTCGCAATGAAAGATACCCGAGGGAACCTGGTTCGCACTGCAGTGAACACCGTGTCTGCTCAGCATCAACTATGGCCAATTCAATTTGGAGAAAGTGTGGAAGACATGAAGACACCCCTCTGCTGTCCTAAAAACTTCCAGGGAAAGGGCCAGGGCTGTGCAAAATGTAGCCCTGCGATTGGCTTTGCTGAAACTGAGACTTTCAGCCACCCAGGCGGTGTCCCTCCCGGGTGGGAAGCCATTCCGTGCTTCTTTCCTGAAAAATTGGGTGAGTGCCCTTAAGGCCCTCCCCCATTTGACAGGAAACCCCCCACCCCCCCCTCCCCCCCCTCCCCCCGCCCCAGGCGCCAGGCACCCTCCAGCCCTCCCGGCCGCGCCTCTGCGGCGCTGCGGCACAGCTCCAAGGCCCCGCGGCTCTCCGCCAAGGAGCCCGCGGTCACCATGATGCGCGACACCCCGGCGGCCTCGCTGGAAGCGCCGACGTCGAAACCAAACAGACGTGCTGTCTTTTTTTTGTAGAGGATCATGTACATTTTGCTCACCCTCACGTAAGTGGGACGTCCCTACGCTTTTCAAGAACCCCCCCCCCCGCCACACAAAGGTGGTCTACCTCTTCCTTCCCTAATTCATTCATTCATTCCTTCCTTCCTTCCTTCCTTCCTTCCTTCCTTCCTTCCTTCCTTCCTTCCTTCCTTCCTTCCTTCCTTCCTTCCTTCCGTCCGTCCGTCCTTCCTTCCTTCCTTCCTTCCTTCCTATCCTATCCTATCCTATCCTATCCTATCCTATCCTATCCTATCCTATCCTATCCTATCCTATCCTTCCTTCCTTCTTTCCTCACTTCTCTTCCTTTCCCTTCCCTTCCCTTCTCTTCCCTTCGCTTCCCTTCTCTTCCCTTCGCTTCCCTTCCCTTCTCCTCAGTTCCCTTCTCTTCCCTTCGCTTCCGTTCCCTTCTCTTCACTTCCCTTCCCTTCCCTTCCATCCTCCCTTCCCTTCTCTTCCCTTCCCTTCCCTTTCCCTCCCTCCCTTCCTTCCTTCCTTCTTCCTGCCTTCCTTCCTCCCTTCCTGCCCGAGCCCTTGCACCGCAAACATTTCGCCATTGCGCCTTCGCGCGCTGCAGCACCGCCGGCAGGTCGGCAGGGTGCCGGGCCTTGTCGCGGTAGACGCCCTGAGCGAGGCATGCAAGGAAAGATGGCCCCCTTGCAAAGCCCCGAGTGATGTGATTGGGAGATCTTCAGCTTGAGCAGATCATGAATTGATTGCGAATGACAGCATAGGCCTCACAACTGCGTTGGATATCGCCACATCTCCCCAGGTTCAGGAAACCCTCTAGCGCGATAGCCTCGCAAATTCTGAACCACATTGAATTCCCTAACACAAAGTGATCCAGCATCTCTTTTGCTTTAATTAGTCCGTCCCAGCAAGCAGAATACAGGCGTTGCTTCACTACGCATCTTGCATGGGCAACGTCTGGCAGCTCATTTCCCCTCCTGGAACATCGGGTCCAGCATATTGGCTCCGATGTCCACCAGGGCAAAACATGTCGCAGCCGGCGGCATCACACCCGCCGGGGACTTCGCAGCCGCCGAGGCCGACGGCTTCGCGCGCGGCCGGTAGCACCGCAATCCCCGCGCCAACTCGTCCGCCAGCGCCAGGGACGCCATGAGCCGTGCGAGGCGCACGAGACGGATCCGCATGGAACACAAGTGCCTGGTGTTTGAGAAAACTGAGAGATATTGTAGGCTGTGGGTTGTGGGCTGTTGTGAGCTGTGAGGTTTGGCGGTGCTTCATTCTATTCAGCAACTGATATTGTTCGTGCCTATGACAAGGATGCTAGATGGACTAGTGGAACTCCACCAAACAGCACTCTGCCAGAGCCATACGAGCGGCTTTCTTCGTATGCCAAAAGTTATTCTAAGGCGTCTTGCTCTTCAGCTTGAGCCCACAAAGGCTGTCCGTGCCCAAGCGCTCAACTTCCAGCAAAAAGCACAGAGCCGGTGCATACAAGGACAATCGGTGCAGTGTGTCTGATCCTAGCCATGGTCCATGCGCTGTCTCCGACTTGCTGAGAGTTCACCTTGTTGAAAGGTATTGCACATGCTCCCTTTCACCGTGAAGCAAGGTGGTTGCATGGGCCTCCCAATAGCCCGAGCCTTCGCCTTGGCTTTGGCTTTGGTCTTTGCAAACTTCTCGCGCAAATAACTATCCTTGACAGGTGCGGCACTCAGCTATGCACTACAACCACAGCTTGGACCTGCTTGGGCACTGAATCGGTGCAAGTTCCAAAAGAGGTGCACGTGCCGGGGTGTTGAGGTCTGAAGTAATTGTAATTGTATGTTATAGTGAGCTAGGGCATTTAAATTCATCGGACACAACAAGGCGTCCCTCAAAGGGTGTTGCAATCCAAGCCCTTCCGGAGTCAGACATGTCTACAATCTGCTGTCTGTCATCTTGTCCTGTTCAGCATATATTGCCATTGGCACAAACGATTCTTCACGACTGAAACAGTGCATTCTTGTTGGCTGCTCTCGGCTTCCCTGGTGCAGGAAAACACAAGCACAACATAGCCAGCAGCTCACAAAAGGATGGAATGAAAAGTAGCTCACATTTGAATCCGAATTGATACGGACCCATTTGCCGGTGTGTTGGTGATAGTGACAGTGATGTATACGATACCAACACGTTCATTGCAGCCTCACTCGTTCCAACAGGGCGTTTTTGTCCATACCCGAAGTTTTGGCAAGACTTGACAAGCGGCTCCTGAGGCGGGCACATGACAAAGAGATGAAAAGAGTCATATGAGACTGCTATGACTTCTCAGTTCAAACTTTGAAGGATTAACCCTTGAGCGCATCTTGATTCTGCGTCGCTTTGCTATATCCTGTATCGCCTGCAAGGCCAACTTTCGAAAAGGGGCTCGAGCACGCAAGGTCCCTTCCCTGACCACTTGTCCAGCACCATCCCACCCACCCAGCATTTGGCCCGGAATCAGTGCCCTCAGCAAGGGACTCGTTGCCCAAGCTGAAAAGGCTCACCATGGCGCTTGCCGGGCAAGTGGAAACGGGCAAATCAGAATGTAACCTGCTGGCTTCCAAGATGCAGACTGTGGCAATTCAGAGGCTTGAAACAAGCAATTTCTACACAAGAGCTTTGAAGTCGCTCACACTGGGTAAGGAGGTCTTGATCCAGCGCTTACTTAGCAATAAATCAAGATACTGTCCAGAGCGCCTGCGGGACTGCGATTTGCGATTTGCTATTGGCTTCCTGTTGGTTTTCCTAGGACCATCCAAAAAATGGGTTTGTCCAAGCGATCTTGAGCGCATCGCGAAGCAACTGCCTTCGATCCAGGCTGCGACTGACACCCGTGGGCAGACTTTGCGGGAAGCATCAGGTGGGAAGCTAAAGGCTATAGCTGGAACAGGGATGCATGTGATCAGACTTGCAAATAGAGGGACCGTGCATGCCCTCAGTCGAGCCTCCAGGGATGGGGCTACCGAACGCCACGGGAGCCCCTTTTGTCACATTCAACATGAAATTCGCAAAGCTGAAACGAAGTCCTGATTACAGTGTTTGATTGTAGTGCCTTGACTCACCTTCGGGAAACATGGGTTGCCCGCATCTGTTGCTGGTGTCTACCCTCGCGGAGGGGGGACCCTCCAAAACAGCCGCAGTGAGCCGTTTCTCTCCGGTTGAGAATGAATCTGATACTGCATGGGTGACCTGGCCAACAAAAGCAATGTTCAACATCGCTCGGCAAGTTCGGTCCATGCTCGGCCATCCCAAACGCGGGATTTCTTCAAACAAAAAATACGAATAAAAATAAAAAAGTGGAAAAATAATGATAATATATATATATATATATATATAAACGGAGAAAAAAGAAGAAGAAGAAAAAGTCGGATCGGAGATTTGGATCGCTGACTGCATCCAGATTGGCCCTGAGGCACCGGCCCCACTCGTTCATGGCCTGACCCGCCCTCTTCGGCCCGGCGACCTCGGCAAGTCAATGCGAAAAGACGAACGAAACACGGTTGATCTAAACGAAACACGTACGTACATATGCATATGAATGGATGGATGGATGGATGGATGGATGGATGGATGGATGGATGGATGGATGGATGGATGGATGGATGGATGGATGGATGGATGGATGGATGGATGGATGGATGGATGGATGGATGGATGGATGGATGGATGGATGCGTGCGTGCGTGCGGGCGGGCGGGCGTGCATGCCGGCACGTACGTACGTACGTACCTGCGTATGTATATTATGCACACTGCAAAGGAAACTAAGCCTTGAGGATGCAGCTTGTCTGCAGCCTTATGCAGCATGGAGCAACAAACTCCATTGGAAGTCAGCCAAGAAGTCAGCGGCAAACCAAACCAATGTCGAGCAGCAGTGGACCAGAAACTGAACCCAGGAGACATGAATGCCAGTATGCTTCTTGCAAAGAGCCTGCGTGGAAAGATGTCAGACTCGCTTCCATGAACGACAATGCACCGTTTTGTCTGCAAGCGCTTGCCGATCAACTGCTGTCCTTGCCATAGATGTTGGACGATCATCTGCTAGTTGCAAATTGGGCTGTGCGGGAACACCTCCCTCACTGAAAACAGAAACAAGCCAAAACACATCAGCCTCCGGCGTTTCGTTTCAACTACTTAGTGGGGCAGATTGGAAGGAGGGTGTTGTTCAGAACCCGACATACACTGTGAACACATACTTCCGCCACCGATATTTTCCACTCAAGCCTCCTGCCTCCTTTTCCACATCTATCTGAAAACAAGGGTCCAGTTTCTGGCGGACCACAAACCTCTACACGAAGCTTGGGACACATCCCAAACGCAAGCTGCTGACCCATCCAACCTTAGGACCCTGGCAATCGATTCCACCAAGTTCCCATCAAAGTGCCGGCGCTCGAACTCGTCCCCCCAGTCCTTGGTCGCACAAATACCACTCAGATCTCATGTGAATTGGACTGGCATCTCAAATTAGTGGATTGAATTGTCAAGCTTGAGAAATCCGCGTCCATCCAACTGAAAGTGATTCATGGCTTTGTTGAATGACCTTGCCTGAGCTCACTCAGCTGATATAGCGTGCTTCAAGCCAGCAAACATGCCAGGACAAAATGGAACAACATACTCATCAAACAAAATAGGTTCGTGTGACGTAAGATGTTTCAAAGGCAAACTCTCAAAACAATGATATTAAGTGACATCGTCCAAGCTGCAATTTGTTCGCAGCAATTCGAGCTTGTTTTGTTTGAGGTGCAAGTAGCGGACAGGCAGTGTCCAATTCGAGCTTGTTTTGTTTGAGGTGCATGTGGTGGACAACTAGTGTCCCTCAATCAAAACAGTGACTTAACGAAGGCTTTGTTGTTTCAAGAACAAATTGAGAACAATGTACAGAAATGACAATGGAAAAGTGAAGCTCAGGTGCATGCAATGCAACCTCAGGCTCAGAACAGGTGCTTCAACTGAAATAAAATGACAGTCCTCATTGTATTCAATGCTTCTCAATGTTCCACGACGTTACATGGATTGGCATCTGGGGTTGCCCTTTCCTTGCACCCCCCCAGCCGCTTGGGCCAAGGGCGTTCATCTTCTGCCATGTATTTCTGAACACTCCTCCGGCCTCGGTGCTGGACTGATGAATGCGATTCAATGCCTTTGTGGCTGCCTCCCGCATTACATTGCAATGTTGCAACCGATTTTCAGGCCATTGCAGACCATTGCTGTCCTTCTCGTTCAAGTTCGTCAGCGCTCCTGTGCAGTTCACCAATTTCTCGCCTTCAACGGCAGACGCAACTGCCTCCAATTCGCCATTGCTTGGCAATAACGATGGCCGGCGCCACAACCCCAAGAACGTACTCAGCATGGGAGCACTTCCAACCGACTTTGACAGCCAAACGCACAAAATCAATTCCAACAAAACAATTGCTGCGCCAACTTATGCCCTGCGGCCTGAAGCCTACAGCTGCGGCGTGTTAGCACCGTGTGCAAGTATTCAAGCCTTCTAAACTGAACTTTGTGACCCCCCCAGCCAACGAAACTGAATTCATGCCGAACCCACACAACCAGAATGCTGTACAAAAACACCTTTTGCTCCTGCGCCCAGCAGCTGCAAAGCGATTGCAGGCGCCATTTGCCAGAAGTTTGCCCAGTCAGACCTGGCTCCCCATGTCCAACTCAGTCCCTCAACACCAAATTCCATGCTCCGGCTGAGCCCTGCCCCAACGCCCTCTTTTTTGTGCCAGGACCCTTCTTGGATCCCATCCGCGGCCCAAAACGGCAACAAGGCCCCGAACAAGGCCGAATGGCGCAAATCAACACTTTTTTCGGGCTCTGGTCCCGGGCCGCCGCCGGGCACATTTTTGATGCAGAACTCCTTCCACTACTACTCCTTCCACTACTACTACTACTACTACTACTACTACTACTACTACTACTACTACTACTACTACTACTACTACTACTACTACTACTACTACTACTACTACTACTACTACTACTACTACTACTACTACTACTACTACTACTACTACTACTACTACTACTACTACTACTACTACTACTACTACTACTACTACTACTACTACTACTACTACTACTACTACTACTACTACTACTACTACTACTACTACTACTACTACTACTACTACTACTACTACTACTACTACTACTACTACTACTACTACTACTACTACTACTACTACTACTACTACTACTACTACTACTACTACTACTACTACTACTACTACTACTACTACTACTACTACTACTACTACTACTACTACTACTACTACTACTACTACTACTACTACTACTACTACTACTACTACTACTACTACTACTACTACTACTACTACTACTACTACTACTACTACTACTACTACTACTACTACTACTACTACTACTACTACTACTACTACTACTACTACTACTACTACTACTACTACTACCCACTACTACTACTACTACCACCACTACCACCACCACTACCGCTACTCCTATTACCACTACGTCTTCGAAAAGGAAACCGAAGTCCAAATGCGTTTGGCCTGGCCGGAAAAACGCATCTGGCGTTTTGCCCCTGCCCCTCGCGGTGCTTGGGCGCAAAAAAGTGAGGGAAAGCCCTCACGCATACCCTTAGGTGGCTTGAAGCAGAAAACGGCAACGCGTCCGAAGATTCGACCAAGATTAAAACATAAGGGAAAAGAAAACCGTAAATGTTAGAATCTTGATCACTGCTTCAATCCGAAAGGAACATGCAGCCAAAGATAAAAGGGTGCGACCGACAAACATGCGTTTTCTTTGTAAGGCGTTGCTTGGAAGTTGAGGCTCGGGGGCGCAGGGGGAAAGACAGCGCGTGTCCTTTCCCCGTGTCTGCACCCCTCTGCGGAGCCTCCTCAGATGCCCCCACTTCAGGGTTCCAAGCAAACGGCCTAAAGTATCATATCACCCAGCCCTTCCGCCCATCGCAGAGTGGAGGCGCTTCGACGCCGCGGACGGCAGTTTCATCAAGCAACTCTGTGTGAAAAGGATGAAACAACTACAAAACAGATCAGGCACGGGCATTGCGAGAGGTGCGTGGCACATGCAGATCAGCACCTGGGTGGTCAATCAGCAGTTCCTCTGCTGCTGGAGGCTGCGCAACCAGCACGAGCTGGACGCCGTCATTGAGGAGCTCAGCGCCCTGCTGCCGAAGGAGCTGTACCGACTATACGAGCAGGCGACGCGAGAACCTTACAAATGTTCTACAAGCGCTTCGAAGAGCGCTTCGCACTTGATTCGGTGTTTCCGGCGCCTATCCTCCGGGTGTTTTCGGCGCCAGGTAACCGTCTGGGTGTTTTTGGCGCCTGGTACCCTTCGGGTGTTTTCGGCGCCGGGTAGCCATCCAGGTGCTTCCGGCACCTGGTCCTTTTTTTCCCTGGCCGCGCTTGGCGGCGGTTTTGTGCACGGGCTGAAAGCAGTGCTGCTAGTGGTGCTGGGCAGCCGCGGGCTATTTGGAGTTGGCGCTTAGTTGGTTGGCGAGGGGGGGGAAGGATTAAGAGCAAAGAGCATTATGAGCTTTGGAAGCTGGCTGTTCAAGTTTAGGCGCGGCTGCTGCGTTGGTGTTGTGGCATTTTGTAAGTGCGCTACTTGGTCACGTATGAAGGCTGCTTCGGGTTTGTTTGCGATTCGGGTGCTCGGATCCTAGCAGTTTTTGTGTTGTCAGCAGAATATGTTTTCGGTTTGGGCCTCGGGGCTCTTCACCCTTCCCCAACTCAAACCAACCACCCACAACCCATCGCGCGAGCGCCCCCGCCTCGGCCCCCACAGGGAAGCTGTCAGACCACTCTTCAGATCATCCAAACCCTACCCTTCCCTTTCTGCGTAAGCCGCCGCGCCCGTGGATTTGAACTTGACTGCCTGGTGGGAGCACCTCGTTGTTCAACCCCCCGCTGCCTCGAAGAGAGCCCCTCAGTTCTTGGGGCTTCACATAGCTCCAGCCCCTTGCCCTCGGAGTTGCTGCCCACCAGGGTTTGTTACGCGGCTGCGACGTCGTTGTTGCGTTAGCATGGGGGGGCTGCCGCCCCCCCCCCTTGCTATATTTAGCCCCCCCCCTGCAGGCTGCCCCTGCACTTATTTCACTTGCCCCTGCCTCCAGCTGCCTCTTGTCCCCCCCCCTGCTGTCAGAGTTCCGAGCTTGCGCCTTTAGCCCCTCTGTTCTGCATTGCGTGTCGCGGCTTGCGTGTCACGTCTGCTGAAGAACGTGAACGCGCGCTAGGGTTTGCTACGCGGCTGCTAGCATGGGGGGCTGCCGCCCCCCCCTAACCCCCCCGCCATTTAAGCTGCCCCTGCATCCCGCCCGCTATTGTCAAAGCTGCTTTGCTACACACGGCCTCATTCTGCGTCCTTCACAGACCCGCCTCCAAGCGAGCCCCTCAGTTCTTGGCTTCACCTGGCCCCAGCCCCTTGCCCTCGCAGGTACGTGGCTCATCAGGCTTGTCTTCAATGGCGTTTGTAGCCCCTGTTGCGCGCTGCGTTTCGTCTCTGCTGAGGTCTGTGGGCTGCCAAGGAACACGCGCTAGGATTTGTCGCGTGGCTGCGGGCACGTCGTTGTTGTGTTAGCATGGGGGGGGGCCGCCGCCCCCCCCCCCAACCCCCCCGCTATTTTTAGGCAGCCCCTGTACCCGCCCGCTATTTCCGACGGGCCAAAGCTGCCTTGCTACACACGGCGCGTGTGGCACGGCGAGAATTGCTGCTCCCAAACCCTTGCCCTTCACCCAGCCCTCAGCTTTCGGGTGCCTCGAAGCCAGCCCTCAGTTCTTGGGGCTTCATATAGCCCCAGCCCCTTGCCCTGGGAGTTGCGTGGCTCATCACTCTTGTCATCAGCAACAGAACAACGTGCGAAGAGAGGAGAGGAAGCATCTCCAGGAAACACAAACTACATGAGTGAAAGCTCTGGCTAGGCTTGCAGCAAAGCAAAGGCACGCTTGCGGCCTTTTTTTGGTCAGCGCCTCCACCAGCGGAGATCATTGCCTGGGCGAATCAGACAATCAAATTTGACGATGGAAGGATAGCAACAAAACAGCAGCGCACGCCCCCGCCTTCTGGGCTTACCTGTCGTCTTCTTGGCTCTGGCCGAGTTCTTTGCAACAGCTTTGGCCTTCGCCTTGGCAAGCGCGCGGCGCTTCCGCGGTGGCTCGGCGGCTGCCTTCGGGCGGCCGCCTTTCCGCCTCTGAGGGAGCGTCTTCAAGTCCACCGTTGCCGGCTTGTGTGTGAGGTCTAGGCTCGCCACAAAGATGGAATGCTCGCACTGGCCGTGGTAGGCGTAGACCGAACAAGAGCACTGCAAGCAGCTACCCATCACGCAGCACAAGTCCTCAAACATCCGGCCGGCTGCCTCAAGCTGCAACTTCCCTTCTCCATCTAAAACATTGGTGAGGCGACTGCCTGTCGCGACCATGATGTCGGCCAGTTGCGCTGCCATTTTGCTCAACCCAGTGCTCGTGTGTGGAAGAGCATGTGCGCACATAGAATGTTGTGTCAGGCGACAGCTCAGCAAAGCGCGCCGCAGGCGTTCGACCGGCACGCTTCAGGGCCTCTCCACAAATGAGGTTGGGGTCGATCTCAGTAGTTCTGAGGTGCAAGGGTGAGTCGGCGTGCCACTCGAAGATTCGGTGTAGAGGCGCTGCATGACTCCCAGGACATGAGACACATCGCCCTTGCCACCAAGTTTTTGGAGCTGGGTTTGCCAAGCAGCGTGTACCGCCTCCGCTGGCTGACTGCCGCCGCCCGTCCATCACGGCCGCACCAGAAGGATGCAAAAATGAGTTGGTCTGCATCAGCGGGAGCGCGGCAAAGAGCAGGAGGAAGAGGCCTTTCGTAGGAACGCAGCCAGTCAGCGACGATGCCTTTGCCAGACTCGCGCAAGGTGAAAAGCAGGCTCTTCCACAGATGAGAAAAGATGGACAGTGTTGGCACGAGCCGGAGCAAGGCCAAAGCATCCGCTGTCCATTTCAGATAAGTCTTCACCCACTTGCCTTTCTTTTGCTCCAAGATCTTGCACTTGCTTGCAAGCGTGTGTTTCTTTTGCGAGAAGTGAAAGAAATCGTCACAAGCTCGAGACGCAGGCCAGCAAGAGCGCCTGGCCGTCTCGATGGCTTTGTGGAAGTCCTAAGTGGCCGAAATGAGGGATCGGACAGGAACGAAAACACGGTTTGGAACATACACCAACGCAACACGCCAAGGCGCCTTGTGGATCTGCAGCGCCACGTCCGTCAACGGTGGGCGGTTTGAGCCGCTCTCCATCCAATGCTTGTCGAAGGCTCGGAACAACCTTTCATAATTGGCTTCTGTCTCGTCATGGAACACTGCCTGCATGATGGGGACGGCGTGGGA